CAATGGCGGGACGTCACAAATTGGGTGATGTATGGAGGATCCTTCTTAGGAACTCAGAAACAGCTGCCTGATGAGAAGACCATTCCGAAGATTGCTGAACAACTGAAGAAATACAATATTCAAGCACTGCTGATCGTTGGAGGCTTTGAAGCTTTCAATTCCGTTCAAATCCTTTCTCAATGGAGAGACAAGTTCCCATCTCTCTGCATTCCTATGACAGTAATCCCTTGCACCATCAGCAACAATGTTCCAGGTTTACCATTCCCAATCGAAAAGCCTAATATCGTTTTTAGGAACTTCCCTCTCACTTGGTTCTGATACTGCCGTGAATGAAATCTGTGCCCTCATTGACAAAATCAAACAATCAGCTACAGGAACAAAGAGACGGTTAGTGTTCGTTGAGAATATAAGCTGACAGATGCTTTTCAAGTGTTTTCATCATCGAGACCATGGGAGGATACTGTGGTTACTTAGCCACACTCTCAGCTCTTGCATCTGGAGCCGACAATGCTTACATTTTTGAAGAAAAGTTCACCGTCTCTGACATCATTGATGATGTGAGAGTAATCGCCACAAAGATGGAAAAGGGTGTTCAACGTTATCTCATCGTCCGTAATGAATGTGCCAATAAGAACTTCACTACTGATTTCGTTCAACAATTGTTCAAAGAAGAAGGAAAAGGAGCTGTAAGAATACAATTCCTTTCGATTTGTTCAATTCCATTGGTTTAGTTCTCAACAAGGATCAATGTTCTCGGTCATGCCCAACAAGGAGGAAGTCCAACTCCTTTTGATCGTAACATGGGAACCAAACTGGCAGCTCGTGCTTTGGAATATCTGCTGACGCAGATAAAGGCATGTGTTGTTTTCCTTCACACAGATTCATAATTTTATTGAAGGATTCCATGGTTGACGGAGTTGTTTGTGCAAAGAGCAGTGAAACTGCAACACTTTTGGGATTGACAGCTCGCAGTGTTGTAAGTTTCTTGACGTAAAAAAATAAAAAAGGTTCCTGGATGTTTGTAGG